CTTCTTTCATTATTCTTTAAATTATCGTATTAATAATCATTATAAGTTTTTTGTGCCCAACAGCTGTTCGTTTTTTTTTTAAATTCCTTTTTAAATTTATTTTCTAATTTTTTTATCTTTTTTTTTTATCTATTGCAACAATTTATCCATAATATAATTGTTCAATTAATTAATATCAAAGCAAGATATATATATATCAATGACAGATACTATCAATACTGTTTAAGGTATAAATAAATGTATAAAATGTTTTTAAACAAAAAACATATAAATACACGAATAGCGTAATAACAAGCGTAGTGATTATAAGATCGGTTTGTTTGAAAATTAAACGTGTATATGCTAACATTGGTAGAACGAGCTCTTGGAAATTTTGTATTATTTTGTATTCACAATATCATTCTTTTTACTTATATAGTATAATAATTGAATTTTAATATTTTATGAGCGTACTACTTCCTTTTCTTCTTTTGGTTTTCTTATATATATATATATATATATATATACGATAGAATATTTATTGAATTCCAAGAACAATTGCTATAACCGAAAAATGATATTTATTTATTTATAAACTAAACGTCAAATATTTTATAGTACAATTATTAGAAAATAATTTTAAAAAATTTATCATTCTTGTGTTTTTCATCTTCCAGAAGAAAGATGTTTCACGCCTACAAATGTTAACGGTGTTTGCATTAATATTAGAAATTGCAGTCCAATAATTCGAATATTGCAGAATCAAAAACCTTTGAATCCAGAAACCATCGAATTATTAAAATCGTTCCAATGCGGTTACGAGGGTGAAGATCCAAAAGTTTGCTGTCCTGTTCAAGTGAGTTTACACATGTATATTATTTTATTATAAACGGATTTTTATAATATTGTTTTCCTATTTTAGAACACGAAAGCTTTCTCGAATAAATTTTATTGTCTTAATTTCAATTAAAATGTTAATTATTAATATAAAGATATTCCTTAACGTATCGAACAAATATTCATTATTGAACAATGTACATTATTATTATCATTATTATTATTATTATTATTATTATTATTATTATTATTATTATTATCTTCAAAGGATCTTTTATATTGATTAACATATTTATATACTAAAGTAAAAAAAAATCAAATGTAATTTTAAAGAAATTAGGTAAAATTTCAAGAGCATTGACATTCATGTTTTCTTTCATCGATCCTACGAAACAAAATATATGAAATAAGTTTTATCAAGGAATAAGAATTAGGATTAAAACAAATAAAATATCTTATATACTGATAATATTTTCTTTGTTGGTTGACTATTTCGAAATTATTCATTTTTTTGTTTTTCTCAATTCATTTAAAGATTTATTGAGGAAGTGATGAAACACATTCCTACGAGAAGGGATTCGCTTATTTGAAGATTCAAAGAAAGGATTTCCTCTTACTATTATCATTATCAAACACTTCCATCATGACCATGTTTATCTATCTTTCCGTTACATACAATTTCCGTATAAAGTATCACTTTCAACGGAGTTTTTTTTTTTATGTTTAAACATCTATCATAATTTGTTCATTACCAAGTTTCATATCGTAAAACACTGAAAGCTATTTTGAACGAATCTATCGGTTCTTATAATTCATTGACATCGTTTAACCGATCACGTGCGCAATTCATGCGTCACGTGCATAATCATGACATTTACAAGATAATCTTCTTAACCAGCTTCTTTGTTTAAGATATTGGAGAAAATTTTTAAAAGGAAAAAAAAAAAACAAAAAAAAAGTCATATAACTCGTCTTGCAAAAGTACTAAATATTTTTCATTAATTTTCTATATTTGTTATTTATTATTATTTAATTTAATACAATTCTCTCTATTAATAAATAAATCTAAATATATAATATATATTATCTCTAGATAATATATTTCAACGTATGACAATAAACGCGTGTGCATTTATTTTAGCCCGAACCTACAAAGAATGTAACTCAAGAAATTTCCAATATTCCGGATGTATCGAACCATCCAAATCTTCGAATATTGAACCTCAATCCTTGTGGTCAATCTATTCAAACAAAGATACTTGGTGGAGAGGCAACTGGTATCCTTAGTTTTCCATGGATGGCACTACTCGCATATAACGTTGGAAGAAGGAATACGGAATTTCGATGCGGTGGAACTTTGATTACTAAACGATATGTCCTTACTGCTGCCCATTGTGTTACTTCATTGAAATCAGGTTCAAATTTTATCTTAATAATATATCGACTGATTTATCTATTCAATTTTCTTGTTCAATTAAAAAGTTTTTGAAGTGAGAACTTCTTTAGAATAGGGAGTGATTTGAAAAAAATGAAACACGGTCGGTCAGGAAACGAGCTAGGCAACGGCCACGATATTTAGTAAGAAGAGAAATAGAGACAAACATATAGGATTGAGCCTGCGAGAGAATGAGACATTATATAGCTATGCAGTATTTTTCCTATTCTCGGTCTTCTCTTTATGCTCTGCTTCGTAGTTATCGCTTCTGGTTGTATATGTGTGTGTTTGTGTGCGACTGCATACTACGAAGCGTGGACACATATTATTTCGATACTCGAAATGTTAGCAGGTAGGAACGATAGAAGGGTAGAAGAATAAACAGAGATAAGAACGTAGGTATGCGACAAAAAAATAGGGTACAAACGAACCGACGGTCGAAATATAGAAAGAAGGTGCGTTGTCTGTTTTTTTTTTTTTTTT